TGTATGCGGATGATACCTAACTCTACCCCTCTGCCTCCACCCTTGACTCCAGCACCATTGCTGTCCTGACAGAATGTCTGTCAGACATCAAGTTCTGGATGAGAGCTAACTTTCTTCGGTTGAACGTCAACAAGACCGAGGCTCTCCTGATTGGCTGCCGTCAGCGCCTCCTCACCTCAGGCACTGACAGCATCACCATCCATGGTTGCACACTTCACCTTGCTAAGCCAGTCTGGAACCTTGGGGTCTTGTTAGACCCTCAACTATCCTTTCTACCCCACATCTGCACCATGACCCGCTCTGCCTTCCCCCACCTCCGCAACGTCACCCATCTCCGACACTGTCTTATACCACAGGCCGCCGAAACCCTTATGCACGCCTTCATTGCATCGAGGCTCGACTATGCAAACTCACTGCTTGTCGGCCTCCCCAACTTCTCCCTCCACAGGCTGCAGATCATCCAGAACTCTGCAGCCTGTGTCCTCTCCTGCACAAGGCTCTGCGACCCCATCCTTGCCCAACTCCACTGGCTTCCCATCACACAGAGGATACAGTTCAAGATCCTGGTCCTCACCTTCAAAATCCTCACCGACCTCCTAACTCTGTCCGCTCAGCAGGCTCCGGCCTGCTTTACGGCCCCGCCTTGCTTGCCCCACTATCAGCAAGCAGGCCTTCCGCCACTCTGCACCCACCCTTTGGAACTCCGTCCCGCAGTCCCTCTGTCTCGTCCCCTGCCTCGCCACCTTCGAGACCCACCTCAAGACCTTCCTCTTCGACCGTGCTTTTGATCTCCCTGCTTCCCCCCCTTCCCTACCCCGACCCTCAGCTCGGGTCCATAACTCTGTCTGTCCAGCACCTTTGGACGTCCTCCCGATGTGAAAGGCGCTACACAAATGTAATTTTGTTGTTGTTGACACAGTAATGTCAGTGAAGTGAATGACCAATTATTATTGGGGCGATTGTTGGCCAGGACACCGGGGGAAACTGCTTTCTCTTTTCAGGTGGTACCATAGGACCTTTAACATTCACCTGAATAGGTAGACAAGACCTTGGTAATGTCTCATCTGAAAAACGCCACCTGACATGACATTGCATTCACCCACTTGGCCATTCATGGATGGGGGAGCAGCAGTTCTTCAATGAACTGTTAATCCCAGACGACATCTAAGTGTTACAGGTTGAAGCTCAATATAGTTGATTCCTATTTAGTAAATGAGTCACTAGACAATGATTATTATCATTTCCATTCTCCATTATTATTCTCAAGCACTGTAAAAGCTTTTAATGAAATGTCATGATAAAAATGATCAACATAACAAGCAGTACTCCCATCCCCTAGTTGATGTTAGTGCCACAAGCATGCGTGATTTATGCAAATTCTACAAAATGCACAGTAACCAAACTTTAGAGTACATCCTGTGAAGCGTTGTGGGACGTGCTCTTGACGTGAAGGGTACTACGTCAAATGCAAGGATGATTATTATGATTATTATTCTCCATTATTATTCTCAAGCACTGTAAAAGCTTTCAGTGAAATGTCACGATAAAAATGAACAAGATAACCAGCAATACTGTTACTTGCATCCCCAATTTCTGGAATCCTCGAACCTGCCCTTAAAAGCGATTTGCCTGTCTGTCTTTCTTTTGCCTGAGTGTGTGCTTAAGTCTTTTGTATGCCTCTCACCTTTTTTGATTAATTTTTCAAGCCTCCTGTGTGTCTTCAATGTATATTCTATCTTCTGCCTTTCCTGCCTTCTGTCATTCATTTTTGGTTTGTGTCATTTCTGTCTTGCATCTCTATTTCACCCTCACCTTTATCACTTGATGTTTTGCCTTCTATGTCTCAGTTTAACTCAGTTGGTAGCCCTCTCACTTTTGAGTCAAAAGGTTGTGGCTTCAAATCCCATATTGGGCCTTGAGCTGACTAGGGTAACAGTGTTGTGAGAACAACAACAACAAGATTCCATTTATTGAGCTCCTTTCACGTCGGGAGGACGTCCCAAGGCGCTGTACAGTTGGGTCAGGACCCGAGCAGGGGGGAAATGGTCAGGGTGAGGGGAGGGAAGGGAGGGAGTGAGCAGGGGGGAAATAGTCAGGGTGAGGGGAGGGAAGGGAGGGAGCGAAGAGGGGGTAGAGAGTCGAGAGGGGAGCTGAAGGCACGGTCAAAGAGAAAGGTCTTGAGACCGGCCTTGAAGGAGGAAAGGGAGGAGGTGGCGAAGGCACTGGGGGATAGAGTTCCAGAGCCAAGGGGCTGAGAGGCTGAAGGCCCGGCCACCGATAGTAGGGCGGTTGGGGCGGGGGATGTGGAGCAGACCGGAGCCAGAGGAACGGAGGGTACGGGCGGGTAAGTAGGGGGATAGTAGGTCGGAGAGGTAGGAGGGAGCAAGGCCGTGAATGGCCTTGTAGGTGAGGATGAGGATCTTGAATTCGATCCTCTGGGGGATGGGGAGCCAGTGGAGGCGAGCGAGGGTGGGAGTGATGTGGTCCCGAAGCCTGGTGCGGGACAGTACATGAGCTGCAGAGTTCTGAATGACCTGCAGTGTGGAGGGAGGTGCCGGGAAGGCCGGCGAGGAGAGAGTTCCCATAGTCCGGCCTTGAGGTGATGAAGGCGTGGACCAGAGTTTCAGCAGCGTGAGGGGTGAGGTAGTGCCGTAGTCTGGCGATGTTCCGGAGGTGATGGAAGGCGGTGCCAGTTGTGGCGCGGATATGGGGGAGAAAGGACAGCTCAGGGTCGAACAAAACCCCGAGGTTCCTGATTGGCTTTGAGAGGTGGAGAGTGCAGCCTTGGATGCTGATGGTGTCAGCGCCTGATGCTGTCAGAACACTGCATTGCCTGAGATGCCAGCCATCCTTCAGGTGAGAAGTCCAACCAAAGGTCCTGTCTACCTGTTTAGGTGGATGTTAAAGATCCCATTGCACTTTTCAAGGGAAACAAAGTTACTCCCAGTATTCTGGCCAACAATCCTCCAAGTTAATTAGTTATTCACTTCATGGCTGTTGGTGGGATTTGGCTGTCGCAAAATGGCTGCTGAGTCTGTCTCTAAATTACAAGATGTTAAAGGCACGAACATTCTTTCTTATAGAGGGACAGTGGGTACATTACACTTTAAATGAAAAGCACACTTCCAATTGCTCCTGGATTTAATTTCCCCACCATTACTAGAATACGGCTTGCGGATGTGAAATGTTTGACAATGCTGAAATCCCTCCAGTTATTCCAGAATTCTGAGCTTTCGGCGAGATCAACCATCCGAGCCATTGAGAACTGTGGTACTCAATGTTTGTTATCCACCAGACTGCTACTGTGCGTTAGCTGATTAGTAAAAGAATGAATGCTACAAGTGTTTGCCTGATCAGCGAGAATTAGTTTAAATCCTGGAAATGTGGAATCAGCAAGTCCAAAGACAAATTATACATTTGTGTGCAGATTTATTGCAATGTTAAATTAGCAACGTTTTGTCACTTGTGCCATCCTGGCTCAGTTGGTAGTACTTCTCTCCTCTGAGTCTGAAGGTTGCGAGTTCTAGCCCCACCTTCATCTTTAAGCTCACAGGCTGAGTCTTGGCTGACACTCCAATGTACCTCATTGTCGGAGGTGCAGTCATTCAAATGTGATGTTAAACTGGGACCCCATCTACCTTTGGTCTTCAAATTGAAGGTAGTGCAGAACGGTGGTAAATTCTTAAGTATGGTATTGATTTGATTGTCGCTTTCTTATCTTTAAAACTATGGAAAATGATGGCTTCCAAAATTAAAGCTGATTTGAAGAGTTTTTCGCAATCCTGCAGGATGTTAAATTTTAAGACAAAATAAGACACAGGCTGAGATTAGGTGGAATTTCGTGCCTATATCTGTTACTCCAACAGTGATTATTATTGTTAGTCTTTTGGGAGTTTTTTGACTTTGTTTAAGCTACTCGTCCAAAGCGTTTGATTGACTGATGATTGTGGTGCCCACGTAATACTCAATGGAGAAGCATAGATATATTGCCGGACACCTCAGTAATCAGCCCATTCAAGTCTGTTCCACGCCTGTCTTGGTCTGGCCGCTGAAGCTTATTATTATGCACCGAGCTCTGATTCTGTGCTCCTGTCTCTGGATGGCCACATTGCAATTTCTACTGAAGCACTTTGGATGCAACAACAGTAGCAATTGTCAATTACTAAATGGTCCTTCAACCTATCACTGGTTTGAAATTACATTCGGGGTGACAAAAACTAAGTACTGGGAAAGTGGATTTGCATTTAACTTAGTGTTGCTACCTCTTCTCAATCTGCTTTACACTGAGGTGAATGACATGCAGGTGAATAAAGGGAGAATGAGAGAAACTGGGGGATGGGGATAGGGGTGGTGGGGAGAGAGAGCGAGGGGAGATGGTGTGAAGGCAAATAAAATGAATAATAGACAATATCTGGATTTTACCTCCTCCTGAATCCAGATAAGTTAAGGCCAATTATAGAGCCCAAACTATTACCCTAGGGTTGATATTAGATAACTCAGCACAGAACTGGATTCAAATCTGCAGCCATACAGTCAGTGTGACCTTAACATAATAATAAAAATCCTTGTATTTGATACAGCACCTATAATGTCGAAATATCTCAAAGAGCTTTCTGGTAATTGCAGTGACAGTGTATTTTTGTGGGCGAATGAGGCAGCCAATTTGCACACAGCATCGTCCCACACAACAGCCACAAAGTGAATGATTAGTTTTATCTGGGGGATTGTTGGCCAGGATACGGGGAGAAACTCCATTCTCATTTTGACAGGACTCTTAATGTCCACCTGGACAGACAGGTGTATCTCAGTTTAACATCCCATTTAAAGAACAGCACCTCTGACAATTTACTCACCCACCCCTACTCTCTGACACTGAACTGGAATCGACAGTGCTACAAGACCATTGATGCGTAATACAACTTATAATGGTAAAATGTAGATAAAAGTCTCCTATGATTGTTTAATTCTGTCCTGTTCATTTTTCTTCTTTTCTCTTCCAGTCAAAACCCCTCATTTTCTACGCCTCCAGAATGTGGAGGTTAATGCTGGGCAGAACGCCACGTTCCATTGCACGGCCAATGGGCAGACATCGCCGAACGATAAACTCTGGCTGCAGGTAACCAGATAGAGCAATTCACTGAGAATTACCCTGATAACATTATCTCAAAAGAACCTCACAGCTCACCTTATAGACATAGATAAGTTGCTAAATAAGAAAGAAAGCCGAGAACAATGCTTTCAGATACGCCAAGACAACAGGACATAAGACATAGGTCATAATAATAATAATAATCCTTGCATTTGATATAGTGTCTTACCTTATATAGTGCCTCTACAGCTTCACAAGATTTGCTGTAAAGTACAGTGAATCTGTATTTTGTAGGATCAGGTTGCAGGACAGACACTAGGAAATATTTCTTCATAAACAACGTATTAAAAGTTGGGAACGGGATACAAGGACAGTTGAGGACAGGAACGCTGTACTCATTTAAGCTGCTTGATGTTGTAGCGGGAAGATGGTAGGGTGGGATTGAATGGGCCAAAAGATTGTCTGAACCTTTCTTGTGATATTGTAGCTGATTCCAATCAACTATGCATGAAAATCTATGGAAATGTTGCAAAAAATGGCATCTCAAGAGTAGTAACTCTCAGCCCTGCTACATGACTGCATTTGGAGGCCTGTATGTAGCTTAGTGGTTAGAGCACTCGCCTCGCAAGCGAAAGGACCTGGGTTCGATTCCCGGCAGGGCGAAACATTGGGCAAGTTTCTTTACTCCACATGCCTCTGTTTACCTAACAATAAGTAGGAAACTAGTTGTTAGTCGATTGGCAGTTTGCTTTTCCAGGAGTAATCCCATCAAAAAAAAATTTGATCACTTGATTCAGGACTGTTTGTGAGATACTGCTGTGCGAAATTGGCTGCCGTGTTTCACTCACAAAACATAGTCAATTCATTTTACAATATATTTTGTGAAGCCCTTTAAGACGTCTGGAAGACGTGAAAAGCGCTATATCAAATGCAAGGATTATTACTATTATAAGATTTATTGGAAGATTGCTAAGGTTACAACTTATCTTTAGGAGTCTCTGCTCAAAGTGTTAGAGTTCTAAGAACATTTTAATTCACAGACAAAGGAAAGTTTGTGAAAGCGTCCTTTGCCGCATATATACAATGATTGACTGGCTGCCAATTGTTAAAAATCACCACCTGAATCGGGTTCGCAACATTGCTGATTTAAGTAGCTGTTGCTGTTCGGTCCATTAGTGGCACCACAAGCCATCAATCAGGCACTATTCTACAACTGCTGGCAACGTGGCAAGTTTGTCTCCAATAAGAAAGTACAGAAAGCAATGAAGATGTTGGGACTGAGACATACTCGGTGCCTGCCTGTTAAAATAATCTGTCACCCATTACCACTGTGGTTTAGATAGATATTAGCCTTAAAGTTCCTCTTGGTGATCTTCAATGCTCTCCCTGTCCCTTTTCCTGTCCAATCTCCTCAAGCCCCACTCTCTCTCTCCCCCCAGCACTCTGCAAGCTCAGGCCTGTTGATGTTCCCCGCCCCCTCGATTCCACTGCTGGAGGCCAATCTTCAGGTTTTCAGCCACGATTTCCCCTGCTTTGTGAAACTTCCTCCCCAAAGTCTCATCACCTCAAATCCTCTCACCATGCCTTCAAAAATCTTCTAAAACAAAAATATGTTTTTGATCATGTCTTCGGACACTGTCCTCCTACCTCACTTTCCCCCACCTCGGTGGCCCTCACTATCCATGTGAAATGGCAACATCTGATGCTGAGGAGAAAGGGAGAAAGGGGAAATGACAGGAGGCACGGGGGTTGAAGAGGAAAGTCTTCAGGTGCAATAAATCGTGTGTATCTTGGTCTTCTTTCCCCCAGAAAATTGTTATATTCTTATCGGCAAAGATGGAGCTAGGTGAAGGGATTGAGGTAGGGAATTCCAGAGGGTGTGGGCATAGTGGCTGAAAGCACGGATGCTGATTGTGGAACAGAGGGGCGGGGTTGAGATACGTGCAGAAGGCCTTAGCCAGATGAGCAAAAGGAGCGTGTGGAGGAGTGGGGTATGAGCAGGTCAAATAGACATTTGATTTTATTTGCACTATGATATTCTCCCCCTTCCCTGTCCCCCCTCCCTCTCCCTTTCACTCTCAGGGACGTAAAGGAAAGGACACCCCCATAAAAGAGACCAAAGTGTCCAACTCCCGTCGATTTATAGCCACCTTCAATGTGGCTCAGACGGTACGAAGTGATGCTGACCACTACCGCTGTGTGACTCATTCCATCACTGGCTCCGGAGTCTCCAACTATGCAGAGTTAGTAGTGAAAGGTGAGTTTTGCATTCATTCCTTTGCGCTTTTGTATTCCATTCTTCTTTACCTTCCATGTGAATAATGTGATTTTGTCGCTGTCGCCAAAGATTTGACCTTGAGATCTGGCTGTTTGATGGAAACCATGCCACAGTTAATGCTTCTCACAGACTCTGCCCGAGCCTCTCTCTGAGAGGGAAATAAAAACTTTTGTTGTAAGGTAGGAAGAGTGACTCCAACAGATCGCAGTAGTAATTCTATCGTTGCTCTAACCCTCAACCAAGGCTCACTGATGTTTGTGGGACGTTGCTGGGACGCATTAGCAGCACGTTTTACAGAGCAGTCACTAGACCTGGAACAAACTCTTTGTGTCGAGTGTTCTGAGACATTTCAAAGCAATAAGTTGCAATGTCAACATAAGAACATAAGAATTTTCTAGATGAAAGAAGATCAAGGTCCATCCAATTCACCTTCCACCAACCTGGCAGCCACATGCACATGTCACATCCCAAACTATATACTGTATCCCAAGATATTATTTCCTAAAAGAAATCTATCTAATTTGCTTTTGAAAGGATTTGATGATTTGCTTGTCGAGTGCAACAATACAGCAACTTATCAATTCCTCTGCTCCCAGTATTAAAAAAAGGGAGTTTCTCCCAGTGTTCCAGCCAACAATCTTTAAATAAAAACTGGTCATTTACTTCAGGGATTTTTGTGAACATCACTGTTTGCAAATTAGCTGCCGAGTTCACCAACAAAACACAAACTTTACCAAAAATGCTGTGACGCACTTTAAGATATCCTCCTGACATGATAGGTATGATATGAAATGCAATGATTATTATTATTGTTATTATTGATGGAGCTTGAATAATGTAATTCCAGTTAGAGAGCTGTGGGTAATTAGATGAATGTAGAAAGCTTACGAGTTTTGGTGTTGTAATTCTTCCTGAACTTGGCAACTCTCAGCTAGATGCAGAATGAGGGTAGGAACTTTATCTGTTTTGAAGGGCCTGTATTTTATATATTTATGGCAAACGTAACAGTGAATAAACTAACATAAAAATAGCTGTCCTGGCATCATCAAACTTTAGTTGAAGCATACAGAAATGAGAGTGGTATAGGAGGAATAGACTAGTTAGGCTGAATGGTTTGGTTCTGTGCTGTATCAGTTATGCAATATGTAACTTCACTCCCTCCTTTTCCTCTCCCCCAAAACCCCTGCACCTTGCACACACACACTTGCACACTCTCACACATGTGAGTGCAAACACACACATGTGCACTCTTAACAAGTCGCAAACATGAACTCCCATATAACCGCCAGTGTACTCAGGTGGACTCTCTCAGATAATAATAATAATAATCCTTGCATTTGATATAGCGCTTTTCACGTCGGGAGGACGTCCCAAAGCGCTTCACAGAACACACTGTAAAGTGAATTGACTGTATATTTGTGGGCGAACGCGGCAGCCAATTGCGCACAGCAATGTCCCACAAACAGTCGTAGATTGAAAATGAACAATTTTTTTTTATTATTGTTTTTTGGTTTTTTTGGAGGGATTATTATTATCTTGTTGATACTCGTCAACAAGGTGATGACTCACCACTGTAATCATAGACAGACTGCAGACATGGTTGGGAAGAGAGACTGCAGACATGGATGCAATGGGCATGGAGAGAAGGAATAACATGACCAAACCCAGTGGCAGCCGGTTTCATAGCCAAGACCAATAATTTATATTTTGAAATAGACTGAGAACAGGAGAACTGTCTGCCTTCATGCAGATGGGCCTCTTTGTCAAATGCCCTTGCCTAGTTGCGTGCCCACTCGCAACAAGTACAAGCATTTTTCTTTCACAAACAAGCCAGTCAATTGACTGGATTTCAGTCATCATTCGATCCCTGTCATTTGAAAGTTACGTGCTGAAAAGCCTGCCAACATTCAGTGTTAAAGCTGCGCAAAGTGATTTGCTGATTGACAGGGCTAGTCCTAAATGCCATGCTTCATAGACAGGAAACTGACTAGGAGAAGTTTTTAGGAGATGGGATACAATTGGGTAAGGGGATTCTAGGCTCAGGGGCAGATGAATTGTTGGAAGGAAAATATTCTTGACAATGAGCATCTAGGTCCTGCTGCTCCATTAGCCGAGGCAGAGCTGCTCTCTGAAATGCACGCAGCCTTGTACAAAGTGCTCAATTCTCTTTGTTCCCTTTATATTTTTATCCCGGTTCCCCGCCTCCTCCAGTGCTCTGTGCGACCCCTCTCACAGTCAGCCATGCAAGGCTCTTTCAGTGTGAAAGCTAGGACAGCTCCACAGTGTAATTAGCTGACAGGGCAAACGCTTAAAGCCACGGTAGCTTCTATTCACAAAGCTTTTTCCAAGGCCTGGAAACAGTTTTTTACATTACATGTTGTGCAAGGTAGTGATTTGTTGTGAAAAAAAGCAAGCGGAAAGAATGCATTTTTTTCACCTACAGATCCCAAAAGGCTTTGATAACTAAGGATCTATTATCTCCCTTCTCCTCTTTATTCAAGGTGAAAGCCCGACCTTATTTTACTTCATGTACATTCCTCTCACTCATCTACAAATCCGTTTGTGCCTTTGCACCTCCAGAACTCTGCAGCTACCTTTCTGACCTGCTTTTTCCCACTCCACTACCCAGTGTCTCTGCTCGGCTGGCTCTGGCCTCCTGCTTGTCCCTCGTCCCTTCCACTTCATCGTCGGCAACCTCACTTTTGGAGCTCTCTCCCCCAATCACTCCGCCTTTCCTCCCATCTTTTAGATCACGACTGAAGACCTTCCTCTTTGACTGTGCTTACGGTCATCTCCACCCTCCCACCAGCTCAGCATCAGGTTCCATCAAGATGTTCCGAGATACTGCCCTGCGTGAAGGGCACTATTTAAAAACAAATTGTTGTTGTTGTACTATCAGTCAAAAAATATTAGCAGAATAAAACAGTGGGACAGCAGTGGTACAGATTGAGGCAGTGCACCTATTAGATTGACCACGGATAAGATTTTGAAGAAAAAGAACACAGAGGGTGCGGGGAAAGAGGAGGAAATTGGGATTAGTGTAAATTAACTCCTAGTCGGGGCACTTGCACCAGTTTTCATACCTGATGGGCCAAATGACTTCCACCAAACATGCTCTAACTTCAGTGATTCTAAAAACTTTTCCCTGAGTAAAACTTGTCATTATCTCAGGCCTTTGTATTCAAAGCAGGGGAGAAACCAGTGCAAGTTTGGATCACACCTTTCTCCCAGGCACATACGCATTTACCTTTCTGCAACAGGTTCAGAGAGGTGTGAATAACGCATGTTAATCAGCGTGGATCACACGTTCTGCGAGCACTTTCCTTTTTGATAAGTTTCAAGTCTAGCCTTTGCCAGCCCCCTTGTACAATGCTTTATAGATGCCCTGGAAGAAGTCAGCTGAGTGGGGGGGAACGGGTGAGAGAGAAAGTGTTGGTAATTGTGTAACCTTTGCTCATTAGTTTCTGAATTGCTAAACAGCAATCGCTGATCAGCACAGATTAGACTGCTCTGATTTTGCTCGGCTCATTTCCACTCTTGTGCCAAGCAGCACTCGCCCTTCTGTGGAGAGGCCACATGTTGATCTCTTGGTTGCTACGGAGCTTTGTGACTGGATGGCGGTGTATAATTACAGCCTTCAGGAATATCTCCTGGAATTGGTCAAAACATTTGCGCTGGGTGCCTCCACTGATGGAACAGCCCAAGGGTATAATTCCATTAGCGCTTAATGGGACAGCAATATAATTAGCATAATTCCTGCTGGGCCTGCTAGACAGATCCCAAGGCACGAGCCTGCCCTGAGGTGTCCTGTCCCGACTTTAATTTCTTTCCTCAAAGTCTCACGCTGACGGAATCGTTTTTTTCCCCTTCACCCCCCAACCCCCTCAACTCCCCTACTCCCATCACCTCCATTTTTGAATTAATTCTGTACCAAAGGAAGCCAAACAGAAGCAACAACAACTTGCTTCTTTATAGCACCCTTCATGCAGCGCTTAACGGCAGTTTGGTTTGAAAGCAGTGTTTTAACACAGAATGACACAGAATTATTAATAATAATAATCTTTGCATTTGCATTACCCACAGAAAGCGATCCGCCAATCGACTAACAAACGGGTTCCTACTTACTGCTCGGTAAACAGAGGCGGGTAGAGTAAAGGAGACTTGCTTAAGGTTTCGCCCTTAATTACAGTTGATTCACTTTACAGCATAATCTGTGAAGCGCTTTGACGTGATAAGGCGCTATATCAAATGCAAGGTTTATTATTATTAGTACCAAGGAGTTTTCACTAAACATAAAAGATAGATTGTCACTGCTTAATGGCATTAGCACTGGAGAGGTTTTTAGTGTGGGAATCAATCTGCCCCTCTCCAGCCCTCGTAGTATCTGGTTTAAACCCCGAAGGATTAAAACCCAAACTGCTATTAGAAATTCATGCCTCTGCTCAATCCCATAGCTCAGCTAAGTTTGTCCACTGGGTATCAGCACTGCTGTGCTAACTCCTCAATGGAGCCCTCTATTTAATTCTATTTCCCTCCCCTTTTCCTCAACGGAATTGTAGAAGTTCACAGAATAGTTGAACCGCACGTTAGAGCTGTGCTGAGTTTGTTGGCCTCAGCTTTGGCAGGATAGTCCCAGTCGTGCATCAGCCTGGCTCAGTTTATAGAACTCTCATCTCCTGAGTCAGAAGGTTGTGGGTTCAAACTCCACATCAGGGATTTGAACTCACAGTCTTGGCTGACGCTCCAATGCGGTGCTGGAGGTGAAGTGCATTGTTAGCGCTTGGGAAGCACTGCATTGTTGGAGATGCCATCTTTCGGATCAGACATTAAACTGAGGTCCCGTCTGCCTATTTGGGTCGACGTTAAAAATCTAATGCTGCCGTTCAAAAAGAGAAGGGAGTTCCTCCTAGTGTCCTGGCTAACAATCCTCCAGATAAAATTGGCCATGCACTTGTGGCTGTTTGTGGGACATTGCTATG